TGATGAAAAAGGTTACGAGTATCAAATAAAGCCACCAGAGAATTCTCTGGATATTTCAGAATGTGGAATTTTCTAAATGCTTCCATAAATATAATGTAGCTTTGCTGCAGTGGCAAGAAAATGAGTGGGATTATACTTCATGTTATGCCATGGTTCATGCTTTGTTGAATTAAATATAATCAATACGTTCACACATGTTAAGCCATTAAGAAAGGATTAAAACCACATTGGCTGAGTTCATATAACACATTTTGCCAAAACCATGACCATGTTTTGATTGAGTATGTACTGTGAAGTGGGCCCATATCAGAAAGTATTTAAGCAAGATGTTGGTTCCTAGTCACAACATTATTTCATCTGCAGAACTTCAATCCTGACAGTTTTCAAATCTTCAAAGCAATATTGGGTACCACCCAAAAATCCATGTCCCTCCTTCCTTCCTTCCTTCCTTCCTTCCTTCCTTCCTTCCTTCCTTCCTTCCTTCCTTCCTTCCTTCCTTCCAATGGTTGGAAGAAAGCTAGAATATTGTCTCCAGTTCGCCTAAACTTAGCTGTGACTGAAGTCCACTGAAACTTACAGAACATATTGATTGCAATTAACTTTTATTGCTTTTAATGAAATATTACAGAATCATAGAGTTGGAACCTGCTCAGTGCAAGATCTACTACGGCATCTCTGACAAATGACCATCCAGCTTTTGGGTGTAGAACTCTTGTGAAGGACATTTTAGCACTTCATATGGCGGCCTGTTCCACTGGCTGACAGCTTATACTGTCAGGAAGCTCCTCCTGATGTCTACCCTGAAAAACTTTCCTTATAAATTCAACCCACTGGTTCTTATCCCACCCTCTGGGGCAATAAAGAATTCCACTCCTTCTGTGTGACAACACTTCAGATATTTGAAGCTGTAACTCATAGTTTCACATCTCATTATACTGAATGGCAAACTTATCTACCTCTAAACAGAGATACATATGATTGCACTATTAGACACACCAAACTTTAGTGGATTTAAAGCCTTAATGGTAGTGGTTGTCTTAGTGACTGTAGAAAAACATAAATTTATCTTTTGAAAGTGATACTCAGGACTTGGAATAACAAGAACCAATAATTCTGAAGGCTAGACCTTTATAACATAACATGCATACATAACATGCATAAAACTCCTAAATAGAAGGGAAAGCAGCACAATCTCGTTATCTGTCATATTTACAGTATGTTCTGCCAATTCTAAAAGCTCAAGACGGCATACACAGCCCCATCTCATTTTTTTTCACCAAATTGACCCAATGGGGTGGGTGGGGCTGAAAAAGAACTCGTGTCAACCCCTGAGCTTCCATGCTGAGGGTGGACTGATACCTGGTTTCTCCGATCTAACACCTTCACCAGCTCACCACACTGGCTCTGCAACTGAATGTATGTGTTCTGCTTGATTACAGCCTCAAAAAAGAAGGCACAATCAAGTGTACCAGTTCAATATTCATTTCGAAGCAGACTTGCAACTAAATTCGTCTGCTAACAAAACTTCAAAGCTCTGCCATTTAGAATATGGCTTTAGAGTAATTATAGTAGCCCCTATCTGAGCTACTTTCCAGGAAAAAAAAAGAGGTGGGGGAGGAAAGAGTTAAGGCTGAAAATGACTAGGATAGTTGAAATCAAATTATTGGAAAAATATTTTTTTAAAAAAAGTGGTTCCCTTCACTGCCAAAAAAATTGACATAACATCTTATCACCTTTCAGAATATACTTTTGACTGCTAACTCCTAAATGGATTTCACGTACAGAATTTGTTGTGAAACAACTACCTTATAAATTCACATATAAGCCCATCCGCATATAACCCATCCACGAAATTGCACCCAAAGTATCAGGAAAAACAGAATTGGTTCTGGAAAACAACATTTACGAACCTGTTTTTCATGTATCTCATATTCTCCGGCAGCAGCAGAATTGTGTGTCTCCTTTGCTCTACTAATAACTTTTAGCTTGAAAGCTGCATCATATGATAACCGTTGGCAATTTCCAGACATGGTGATTTCCTACCTACCAGAAATGTGTGCAGCAAAAGATGGGAAACTGCAAACTTTCATATATTCATTGAAAGCCTGCGATTTTTTCAAAAAAATCTGAGCTGTGGTCTGCGGATAAGCAGAACCCAGTTTGGGGGGTGTATTTTGGAGCCAAAAATTCTTGGTTCATACGCAAGTATATATGGTAATCCATATACAATCAATGGTGCCCTGGAGCTGGACCTTCAGACCATAGTTCTGGTTCTGCAATTTATTCTACTCCTTTTCCTGCCCCACCCAGTTGGAAAGTGGCAGGTGACAGGCAGTTGCAGACTGAGCAGTGGCAAACACTAGACAACCAAGGAATGTCACCGTATTATTCACCTCTTATTTTAAGTATTTTTCAATCAAGGACTGGCAAACTTGCTCTTTTCCCTTAAAACATAATACTTCCATGCAAACACACACACAGCCTGATTATTTTAAGCAGCATGGAACATATGCTAAGTAGTATTCACAGCAGAAAAAAAAAATCACGCACATAGCTACACCACTAGGAAAATATACTGTATAGACAGTTCAATTGCTAGCAAATTATAATTTTAGACATATTATGGGCATTCTTGTATTTTTCTACAGAAACAATTCTCTGTCACCAGTCCAGGATGCTGCAGGAATAGAACACTTAAAGCAACATCCTAGGATTCTAAGAAAACATTTTAATAACTTATAAACAAGCATGTGTAGAAATAATGCTGTGGCACTTTGATAATTGTGGCTTTTGTAGATTAGAACCAGTTTCATTAAATATTATGTATATGTATGAATATTTGGATTGAGCTTTCTAGATTTCTGCCTTCTCGTTTGCAAATGATGTTTTCATTATTATTATTCAAAGAAATCAGTAAGAGCATCTCCACTCAAGAGTTTTGTATTGCTCTGGAACTAGCTTTAGATTTGGCTATGTGCATAATGTCAGCTTACATGAAAAGCTTAAGTGTTTTTTTCTGTCTCCGCTACAGTTTATTTTGAAGAGGACCAAAGTGATTTTTTTTTTCTTTTCAACATTGCAGCTCAGTTGACTTGGTGGATCATTTTTTCCTCCACTAGCAGGAATTCTTAGCTCATCCCCCTGCTTCTCAGAGCTTAGGATGAAGGCAACCTCCCCTAGCACCTACTCTCCTGTTCATTTAGAAAAGTGCTTTTCAAACTTGGCAACTTTAAGTTGTGTGGACTTCAACTCCCAGAATTCCCCAGCTGGGAAT